ACACCAGTAAAAACTATTCGTTTTAACTGTAAATAACGTCTTAAACAAAAGCTAGCACATATACGTTCAGTAAAATTGTTGACAACTGTAAAACAGCGCGCATTTATCACGAAGCGAACCGCTGAACAGCGAAGCTGCGTACAGTGAAGCGCAGCAGCAGCCGCTGGGGATTGTGGGATATGTTTGTCCGCCAGTCATTCATTTTTCTATCATAAGGACTCTGTCTGATTGCATAAGCTTCCTAGCCAGCCATCTGCTTGGGTTTGCTTTAATCGTTTTGTTCGCCTAATATTATTATTTTTTTAACGACATTGATATGAAATAAACAGCGCGTGTCACTGTTGTGCTGGTAAGCATCTTTATTTTATAATGCATAACCTTGATTATGCGGTCATCATAACGACGAGTAGCAAAATGCAATTACAGATGCATAATTAAATTTGATAATATTTGCATGTATAACTGCGCGTGTGCATTTTGTAGTGAAGATTAAATTAAATATATTTCCGATTACCCTGTATTTGAAGGATATATTCGCAGATACAAAACAACAAAGGTTTTAAGGTGATTATGGTGATTTTTTAAAATATAATTAACTGTTTTAATGATGTTTTAACAAAAGTGCAGTTTGTGATTTTTCAGTGCTTGTGTGTCGAATGATGATCACATCCACGATCTCTATACAATGCACTGAATGACTTTAAAAGGCGTTTAAATAAGGCTTTTAAAGTAGTAAAATGTGCGAAGTTCAATTGAAATTATGTACCAAGCAAAAGAGGGACAAACCTTTCTGAAATTTCAATTAAACGTATTTAAATGCTATAATTTAATTTAAAACATATTATATATTATACTAGAACATTTTATTAGTTCTATTACATAAATCCGGTTTCATTTATGTATGAACGACAAATATGCACCACGTTAAGTTTATTATTTTCTTGAAACTGTGTAATTCAACTTGATGATACATAATCTTAAATATAGGCCTAAAAATGTTTGAGTTTAGGTGGGAAAAAATGTAAATTTAATTGTGAAATGTATTTTTAATTAAAAAGTGTTTTAAAGACAACCCCTTAATGCAATGTAATTTTTCATTTAAAATTAGTGTATTTAATTTATATATCTATTTCCTTGTATTTGTTTTTGTAGTGTGGAGCACCAATCAGCCACAGATTGTCATAATGCTGGCCCGCAAAGGCATTTTGGCTGATGGTTTCCTGTTGACACGACTCGCTGAGGATGCCACACAACCCAGTCGCATCTGGCCAAAGTCACAGAGGGCGCGTTTCATCACCAAGAGCGGGTCGTGTAATGTTGCCCACAAGAATATACGAGAACAGGTGCGTTGCCCAAATGAACCAAGCAAATGTTTAAATTCACTCACATATTGTAGTATAATGTGTTATTAGACAACAGATGCAGTACACTTCATTGATTAGATTCTGTTGCTTCTCAGGGCCGGTTTCTCCAAGATGTTTTCACCACCATGGTGGACCTGAAATGGCAGCATTCCCTGCTCATCTTCACTTCGGCATTCCTCTGCTCCTGGATGCTCTTTGCCATGGTGTGGTGGCTTTTAGCGTTCGCTCATGGCGATCTGGAGCCTCGAGATCCCAACGAGCCTGGACCTGTGCCGTGTGTCACTTCCATTCACTCCTTCACGTCTGCTTTTCTGTTCTCCATTGAGGTGCAGGTAAGGAGCAATCTGGATGGATTTGAATCCAATTGTTGACCCATTGAGGTCCAAATGGCTGAGCTTTCTGAACCTGTAATATCAGTCATTTCTGTAATATCAGGTGACTATTGGTTTTGGAGGACGAATGGTGACGGAGGAATGTCCACTGGCCATCATAGTCCTCATTATCCAGAACATTCTGGGCCTGATCATCAACGCCATCATGCTGGGCTGTGTGTTCATGAAGACAGCTCAAGCCAACCGGAGAGCAGAGACCCTCATCTTCTCCCGTAACGCAGTCATTGCCCCGCGGAATGGCCGACCAACGTTCATGTTCCGTGTCGGAGATCTGAGGAAGAGCATGATCATCTCAGCCACAATACAGCTGCAGGTGACAAATATCTTCTACTCTCTGAAAAACAAAGGTTCTTTATTGGCATCTATGGTTCCGTGAAGAACCTTTAATATCAATGGAGCCTTTCCATTGGAAAAAAGGTTCTTTAGATTTTTGAAATGTATGGTACTTCAGAACTGTTCACTAAATGGTTCTTTGGGAAAACAAAAATGGTTCTTCTCTGGCATCACTGTGAAAACCTTCCTTTTGGAACGTTTATTTGTAAGAGTGTAGCTCTTCTGTCCAAAACGTCTTGAGTTGAATTCCACCCTAATCTTGATTTCTGTTATTCAGGTGATTCGGCGGACAGTGACTGCGGAGGGTGAGGTGATTCCGGTCTGTCAGCTCGATATCCAGGTGGAAAATCCGCTCAGGAGCAACGGCATATTCCTTGTCTCTCCACTTATAATCAGTCACACCATTGACAGAGGAAGTCCGCTGTACGAGATCTCAGCGCAGTCACTGGCTACCGAAGACCTGGAGATCATTGTCATTTTGGAAGGTGAATGGAGTGCACTTCTCTTTATTGTAATCATTTTGAATTAATAATAATAATAATAAATTTCAGTCATTTCTAAACTGAAAAGAATTTGCTGCCTGTATAGCTCACTAGGTTTTGAAAGCGAGCCGATGTGTCTGTTCTACCAGGTGTTGTGGAGACCACCGGCATCACCATGCAGGCCCGCACATCCTACACGCCAGAGGAGATCTTGTGGGGTCGGCGTTTCGTCTCCATTATGACGGAGGAGGATGGGCGCTACTCAATCGACTACTCCAAATTTGGAAACACCGTCCCCGTCCGGATGCTGGCGCTCAGTGCTAAGGAGCTGGACCAGACCAGGGGCGTGCAGGACAGCGGACCCCATGAGGGTAAACCTCAGGGCTGGGGGCTGGTGAGGGCGGGACGGGGCGGGTACAGGAGGGGCGGCGGCCGGGCCTGTGATGACACGGCAGCCAAGCCTTGGTACGTGCCAGCGGAGAAGGAGGAGGAGAAGAAGGGGCAAAAGAAAACAGTGAAACTTGAGGAAATAGGCAGAGAGATTGAAGAAGAAACAGTGGAGGACATGAGCGATTAGAACAAAAACATTTATTAGTTTTTTCAGGTATGGAAGTAGAAATAACCTAGAAGTAACTGGTAACTAGTTCACTTAAAGTTATAGTTCACCTAAAAATTTTAATTCTGTCATCATTTACTCACCCTCATGGCGTTCCAAATTCATAAGACTTGTATATCTTCACAAAACTTGGATTAAACCGTTTGATTCTTATGAATTTGATTAACAGCAAAATGGTTTTTTGGTTCTTCTAAGTTTTGGTTTCTTGGACTTTCAATGGAGGGACAGAAATCTTTCAAGTTTCATTCAGAATAACATAATTTGTGTTTCAAAGGTTAACCAAAGTCTAATGGGTTTGGAACAACATGAGGGTAAATAAATTATGACACAATTTCCATTTTTTGGAGAACTATCCCTTTAATATTCAAGAATATTACACTACACATGTTTTGTAAACTGTCAAAACATGGACAACTGTGGCATTGTTTACGAATACCTCTGAGAATTTCTTGTAGATTTTGTCCTTTTCTGCCAGCAATATAATGAATTTTAGGATTGTTTTAACAGAAAAATGTGGTATCTTGGCAGTACTAGTCAAGATATGGACCATAGTTAGGGTAGATGCCATAATTCATTCAGTGAGAATAAAAAGCAGGCTGTGGTGGATAGAAGTACAGTCAACAGAAACAACTTTCAAGCTGTGAAATTAAACATGATGACCAAAAACCTTAACTCTGCACAAACTGTTTAACAGACTGTTTCTATCCACCACAGATTCGTTTTTTTATTCACATCAAATTAAATATGGCATATACCTCAATTAAAATGTATTACTGCTGCTGTTAAAGCAAACATGTGGCAGCTGTATATGTTTGTATGTTGGGTTTTGATACCATAAGCCCTTTTAAAAAATATTCCAGTTCATTGCCTTTTTGTGTTCTAATCTTGTTTTATGAGATGTGATGTGTTTATGTTACTTTTTTTTTTTTAAAGGGATAGTACACCCAAAAATGAAAATTCGGTAATTTACTAACTCTCATGTCATTCCAAACCCGTTTTGACTTTCATTCTTCTGCCGAATGTAAAAGAAGATATTTTGAAGAATGTTGGTAACCAAACAGCTTTGATTTCCATTGACCTACATAGTATGGACAAAAAAAACAAAACAATGTAAGTCAATGGGAACCAAAATTGTTTAGTTACCAACATTCTTTAAAAGAAGATATTTTGAAGAATGTTGGTAAATAAACAGTTTTGGTTCCCATTGACTTCCATTGTACAAACAGAAAATACAGTGGAGGTCAATAAGAAATAAAACCGTTTGTTATCATTTACTCACCCTCATGCCATTCCGAATTTGTATGTTTTTTTTTTTCTCTGTGGAAAAAAAAAAAAAAAAACGGTTTTGGTTCCAATTGACATATATTGTTTTTATCCATACAATGGAAGCCAATGGAAACCGAAACCATTTCGTTACCAACATTCTTCAAAATATCTTCCACATTGCACAGCAGAAAGAAAGTCATACAAGATTGGAATGACATAAGGGTGAGTAAATGATGGCAAAATTATAATTTTCGGGTGGACTATCCCTTTAATGTGGCTATCATAGTGTTTAGTGTGTTACATTGCGTGGGCTTGTGCAATTGTGTTGTGAACTAGAGGACCTGAACCCCTTACATACATACCTTCACGTTTGTGTCCAATTTAAATGTGAAAATTAGGGAATACATTCCATGTTGATTTAACAGTTTACATATCAGTGAGTTCATTTATTTTGTGTATGTCACATATTTAATAAAGCATATGACATTTTATATATCTGACTGAAGGAATTCCTGAAATTTACTTTACTTTTTTTTGGAAAACGGCATGTTATGTCACAGGATTAGGGGTCAACAGCTGGGCAGACTTTACAGCGAATGAAGCTGTTCCATCTGTGTTCAGATGGTGGAGATTTTAAAGTCGTCTGTTTCAAATCCACTCACTGAATATATTCCTCCTTTTTAGTCATTTAGTGTTATATTGATGTTAGGTGCTGCATTTAAATGGCTAGTTGAAGTGGAGCTGTCCGCGGTGCTGAATGGACACTTGAACCATTGCAGGTGGTTTGAAACTGGACTTATAAGATGGTAAAGGGTAGTTAATTTATTAATGTAAATATACTACATACAAAGGTAATTTATGAAAAGATCAAACATCTTGCTGCATTCTTTTCAAATATCAGCCAAAATAAAATAAAATAATTTTAAATTGAAAAGAAAAAGTCAGAAAACAATGGTATTAGAATAAAAATAGTTTACAACAAGCAGTGCTTTTTGATATATAAGTGGTTAGTTAAAACCAAACAATCACAAATAATAGTACATAGTGAATATATAGATATCCATAAAGGGTATGGCAAGAAATAGCCTTCGAGGACACTAGTGAGAAATCATGCAGTGATGCAGCAGGACCAGAGGCTGGTGAGCACCGCCAGCAGGGATAAGATCCACATGCTTGCCGCGGTCGCTGGTCCGCTGTTACACAGGTCAGTGTTGCAGCACCTGTAAGTATATTCTGATATTGACGGAAACTGCTGGGACAGACGAGAGTTATCACAGTCAGTGTAACGAATGCACCGGCGAATGGTCTTCCCACCTAGAAAATGAGAACTGTTAATCAGTGAATAGAATAGAATAGAATGTTTAAAAAAATAAGTCACTTAAAAAAGTATGAATGCCATTAAATTAATGTTATTTTAAATGGAGCATATTTTTCAAGCATTTTTATAAAAAGGAAACCAAGTTAGAAATTAAATTATTAAATTATTTATAGTATAAAAATTATGTAGCCTTTCAGTTAAAATGTACTAATCGCATAAACTGAATTCTTACATCCACTAAAAATCCCATCAACAATAAATCCATCAAACACCTTACCTTTTGGAGATTTAAGACAAGTTGGAGGTTATCATAACTTTACGAGGTTTTCCATCATGATTTTTGAAAAAAAATTAAAAAAATTCAGGAATTCAAATTCTGAAGTTTTGTCTTTAGAACCTTTTTAAGAAAAACGAATATTCTTAAGGAAAGGTTTTGGGAATATAAAATATTTGTAAATATTCTTAAGTTAGAAAATAAGAAAGAAATAATAAGAAGAATTGTATTATTATTTTATTGTTCCATGTTTGGAGCATTTCTTATTTTTCATTTCCATTTAAATATCTCAGTATTTATGACTTCATTACTAAGAAATCTGAAGGCTGTTGTATAGACAAATCTCTAAAACACTAAAACTTTATTAAACTGAAAACTTATTTTAAGAAAGTTTTTTTATCTTTTTAACTGAAAAAAACTGTTTTGATGGACATTTAATTTACAAATTAATAAATAGTATGAAGTAAGTGGTTATTTTTAGACAGATTAATTAGCAAAGTTCAGTTGAGATTAGTTTTAAAAAGTCACTACATACTTGGTAACTTACCCAATACTGCTCAACATTATTTGGTTAGTAGTTATTGCAAAAGTGGTTAAGAAAAGTTAAGTTAATTCTTAGAAAATGTCTAGTGTAACTTGATTGCAGATGTCACTTTGTTTGAAAATATAATATAATATAATATAATACAAATAAACTTGAAACAATAAATGTGTTTTAAAATGTACCTGAACCAAACACTAAACTATTAAAATAAATAAAAATGTAAAAGCTAAAACCTTTTTGCCCCTTCTCAGGAGGATATGCCATTGCATACTAAAACTTCATCCACAAACCTTTCTCATGAAGATATAAACATGCGTCCTCATAAGAACAAACTTGCTGCACTGTGCATCGGGCCCCGGTGTAATCCTCACACTTGTAGCATCGAAGAGACGAGCCTGCAGAGGAGAATCGGATTCCATAATGCTTAACGCCTGTTTCAAATAAAAAGCACTGAGGTCATGACCAAAACCACACAAAACTAAGCCAACAATAATTAAGTGCATTTAACTTACCTAAGCTAAGAGTCACACAACAGACCAACAGAAAAAGTCCAAGAGAGCACTTCATTATGAGAAAACCTTCCTGACCTAAGAGACTGATAATGAACAAAAATAAACTAAAATAAAGAAAACAAATCAGCATATTAATGAAAAGTCGGTACATTCATGATTTCTGAAGGATCCCGTGACACTGGAGGAATGATGCTGAAAATTCAGCTTTGCATCACAGGAGTAAAATATATTTTACAATATATTTACATAGAAAACAGTTTTAAATTGTTTTTTTTAATTGAAAAACTATTTCACAATATTAGTGTTTTTACTGTATTTTTCAGCACATAAAAGCAGCCTCGGTGAGCAGAAAAGAATTAAAAACATTTAAAAATCACAATGTTTGCAAACTTTTGACAAGTACTGTATATACAATATATATATATATACACATATATAAAAAGTATAAATGTTGTTTATACTATATATATATATATATATATATATATAATTAAATAATATAATACATAAAATAAAACTGAAAAGCATAACTGCGCAGTTCAAATATCTTGTGCAATACTTGTATGACAGCTGTAGGAAAATATTAGCATCAGAATTATTTTAAATATCACTTACCCTGCTCAAAATGTTCAGGGTTAATCCAAGCTTGTGCGTTTCAACAGTCCAAAAGCATTCTTCGTGCCACCTCTTCCCTGCTCGAGCTCTCGCCCAGCCTCACCCTTGCCCTACATGAATGATGTCATTGATGGAGTTTCTCCTAGATGCCAAGACAGATTAAAGGGATCCGAAAAACGAGACAAGATTATGTTTATTATAATTAATATCCATTAATATATTGCAATGCCTGCGCGTTGGTGACTCATAGCAGCTATAGGTAAATAACTAAAAGTGCAATAAACAGTAAAACTACTTGCGCTACAAACCAGTGTTTATGATAATAAATTAAACTAATATGATAACAGTTTGCAATATAGAGCAGCTTAACAGACTCTTTTTGTACAAGTAAAATAGTTAGAAGCGAATGACATCATAACGCATCTCAAAAACAATTGCATTTCGCTAAATGATTATCTTGCACAGCCAGAACAGGGTTATATTAACCCAAAACAGAGCACATTCAGAATTTGCCTTTACAAAGATCTTATACAGAATCTTCACAGAACTTCAGTTCAATCTAATTGTCTCTCTCTTTGTGCAGCGTAACGACTGACCACGAGAATTAAACCCCAATCCGTTCTGCTACGTTTCCCAACACTGCAGCTGGTGTTGACAATAAGGCCTGTGTCACACTTCCTAGAGCCTTTCTGCAGTCATGGAAGCACTCAATTCAAATGTCATCTCAATGCCACCCTTATTTGAGACTGAATCTGAAAAGGCATGAAATACAACTCTGAATCTGGATCTGATGATAGCAGAACAATTGGTGTTAAGCAAATGGATTTGTTGGGATTTAAAACAGTGAAGTAGTGTTGTTTGTGCGGCAGCCCACACAAGTACTCATGTTGTTGCTTTTCCGCTACCTTAGCAAAGGGAGCAGAAAATCACCCATCACATGTCAGAATGCTAATATCCAGGAGAAGGCGTGATGATTGGCTTTTTCCACAGTGCTGGAATGGGACTGTGTTTAAAGGACCAAATACAGGCACAGATGACCAATGAAGCTGTGGTCAGACAAGCAACAAAGAGCACTTGATCTTTGTTTGGGCTGTAGCATTCAGTGCAGCGTTTTAAATAATGTGTGTATGTGTCTAGTTAATCTAAATATATATATATATATATATTACATTATTTTTTAACATGCAACAATCAAGAAATGGCTTTCTATTTAAACCTGAAATCATCTTATCTTATCTATAAATGGTGACTCAATTAAAGGAATAGTTCACCAAAAAATGAAAAATTGCTGAAAACTAACTCACCCTCAGGCCATCCAAGACGTAGAGGAGTTTGTTTCTTCATCGGAATACGTTTAGAGAAATGTAGCATTACATCATTTGCTCACCAATGGATCCACTGCAGTGAATGGGTGCCGTCAGAATGGGAGTCCAAACAGCTGATAAACGCATCACAATGATCCACAAGCAATTCACACAACTTGAAGAATTACACTTCCGGTATGATATGAGCGTTCTATCCATAATATTGCGGAAAAGCCAACTCGTCTGAATCAGGAGAGTAGTATGCACGGATCAAGCACTGTTTACAAGCGTACTTGTGGGTTATTTTAATGTTTTTATCAGCTGTTTGGCACCCATCCATGATGTAATGCTAAAGTGATCATGTTAAATTACTCCATCTCCATCTGTTCTGATGAAGATTCAAACTCATCTACAATCTTGGATGGCCTGATGGTGAGAAAATCTCCAGCAAATTTTCATTTTTTTGGGTGAACTATTCCTTCAAGCAAACCAGTAAAAACATAATAACATAACAATACTTGACCATAGATGACAATAACATAAAAAACTTTATTAAACCATTATTTGTTGAATATAGTTTCCATATGCTGTCATTTTAAGTAGGTTTCTATAATACATGTACACATTCTCCAGGTATACATTTCACATGTAGTTCATATTCTTGAGTTCCAGTGTTATAAGTTTTCAGGAAGAAAGGGTGTATAATGTGTAAATCCAAGCAAAAGACATATTTCTCTTTGCAAGAAGGAACTGAATGGAAATATGGAGCTACCATTCACTTGTTTTGTTTGAAAATAAACTTGAAATCAGAAGTAACTTTGTTCCTTAGGCCTAAGACCTGGTGTCTCCCAGATAAAAGCATTGAAAAACATTTCATAATAATTCATGATATGGACAATGCACATTATTGTGTTTACATGACAACTAAATCAAGAAAATACAAAATTATGAATCTAGACATAACGTTTACATTTGGTACACATAGTATTCGATTAAAGGAAAATACATATTAAAACCTTAACTAAATAAAATCAGACTTGACTTTGGCTCATTTTATGAGAATTCAAAACTGAAGATGAGCAAATGTTTGCTTTGACACAGCTACGGCATATACCTCCCAACACCATACGAGAAGATTCACTCGATGGCATACCTCACTGTGAGGTAACGGTCTAACATTCAAAAGCATTCATATACATACATAAAAAAAAGTTTAGATTTTTGGCAGCTCACTTATTAATCCTTACAATCCTTTTGCTACTCACGAGTTCAGATGTGGGTATGCAATGCCATCAATTGCTCACTAACGCATGAAATGCTAACAAAAATAGCTAATGAAACATAATAGTTTGACCAATTAAATGAGAGTAATCTTTTGCGTAGAACACTGTTTTTGAAATTTCTGTTTTTAAAATGTACATTCATTAAAACAGAATAAAAATTGATTTATTGAAATAATTCTTTCCATAAAATACAAACTTTCGGAGGCTTTAAACACATGCTAAATTTTCAGTCGTGCAAAATCTAAATATATTTTAAAATAAAGACAAGCCATTTCAGTATGATTAATATAAAACGTTGCAGCACATGGAAGGTAGTCCAGCCTTAACTGTACACGTGTATAGTTAAGACACAAGGATACGTTTTCTACGTGTATTTACACTTTGATTTGAAGGAAAACAGCGCATCCGTGCAGCGTGGCTGACAGAAGCGTGTACGCTGCTTGCGTTCAGCGGATATTCTCCAAAATGGCGCTACGGTAATGCAGAGAGACACAGAGGAGACGAATTGTTGAATAAAGTCGTTATTTTTGTTTTCTTCGTGTACAAAAAGTATTCTCGTCGCTTCATAACATTACGGTTGAACCA